TACCGACCTCTTAAGGTCGTTATTTAATAATTTATTTTAATATAAACTCATCTCTGGTAGATTTTATTAATTAAAATTATATATATACATATATATATATATATAATTTAATTTAACTACACATCAACAAAAGTTTAATTTTATAAATTTAAATTATATACCTCCTAATTATATAAATTTAATTTTATCGATCAACGGAAGTTTATCAATATATAATTTAATATATAAATCTCCTTGAATTTATCATCGGTATTTCTTTAAGTGATAATGTATTTCATATATGAACCACTAATATATAAGACTTGATTTGTTAAACTACTCGAGGAGTATATAATCAATGTATTTCATACTCCGATGTGTTATCTTTTACTCGAAAATCGGTATTATAATTTTTTTGTTTTTTATTTTACACAAAATCGTCCTCCGGAAGACGATTTAAATAAAATTAAATCAAAATAATTAAAGTGACATCCGGAGGTCGGTATTTTTATTTCATCTAATAATTAAAGTGACATCCGGAGGTCGGTTTGTTTGAATTTTCATTTTACACCTATAATTAATTGTTTAAAAAATTGTATACTTTTATAAATAGAAAGTTAGATCAATAATCCATATTTAGAGTATGAAATTACGTTGATATGAAAACCGACAACAAGTAGTCGGTTTTTATGCAAAATAAAGGGAAACTCAAATTCCGACCTCAGGAGGTCGGAATTTTTCCCAGAAAAATGAACTACAATAAAAACCGACCTCTTGATGTCGGTATTATTTTCTCAATTAAATATAAAAAATACCGACCTCATGAGGTTGGTATTTTATATTTTATATATATATATATATATATATAAAATTTAATTTAACTACACATCAACAGAAGTTTAATTTAATAAATTTAATTTTATCTTTCAACAAATTAAAGTTTATCAATATCAAATTTAATATATAAATCTCCTTGAATTAATCATCGGTATTTTTTTAATTGATAATGTATTTCATATCTGAACCACTAATATATAAGACTTGATTTGTTAAACTACTCAAGGAGTATATAATTAATCAACGTATTTCATACTTCGATGAATTATCATTTACATGTCATCATAATTATATAAATATAAAATTTATAATTAATTGTTATCATGACTTTTTTATCGAGTATTATCTCGCATTTCATACTCGAATGAATTATATGTTAGCTCTTCACCTCTACATCATGACATGAGATATTAAGTTCATCATTAGACGACGGACTGATAAAATTTGTACGTTACTCTAGAAATATATCTCCTAATTCATATCAACGTAGTTGAATACTCTAAATATGGATTATATATATATTTTTATTTATTCCATGAATTCTAACTTTTTATTTATAAAAGTATACAAAATGGTTACACTTTTTGAACAATTAATTGTAGGTGTAAAATGAAATTTTAGTATTATGCACAATAGCAAAATTATGATTATTAATAGGAATATTTTAAACAAACTGACCTCCGGATGTTTCTTTTATTAAAAGTAATTAGATTTAATAAAAAATACCGACCTCATGAGGTCAGTATTTAATAATTTATTTTAATATAAACTCATCTTTGGTAGATTTTATTAATTAAAATTACATATATATATATAATTTAATTTAACTACACATCAACAAAAGTTTAATTTTATAAATTTAAATTATATACCTCCTAATAACATAAATTTAATTTTATCGATCAACAGAAGTTTATCAATATCAAATTCAATATATAAATCTCCTTGAATTTATCATTGGTATTTCTTTAATTGATAATGTATTTCATTTATGAACCACTAATATATAAGACTTGATTTGTTAAACTACTCGAGGAATATATAATCAACGTATTTCATACTCCGATGAATTATCTTTTACTCGGAAGTCAGAATTATAATTTTCTTTGTTTTTTATTTTACACAAAATCGTCCTCCGGAAGACGATTTAAATAAAATTAAATCAAAATAATCAAAGCGACATCCGAAGGTCGGTATTTTTATTTCATCGAATAATTCAAGCGACATCTGGAGGTCGGTTTGTTTAAATTTTCATTTTACACCTATAATTAATTGTTTAAAAAATTGTATACTTTTATAAATAGATAGTTAGATCAATAATCCATATTTAGAGTATGAAATTACGTTGATATGAAAACTGACGACAAGTAGTCGGTTTTTATGCAAAATAAAGAGAAAATCAAATTCTGACCTCAGGAGGTCGAAATTTTTCCCAGAAAAATGAGCTACAATAAAAATCGACCTCTTGATATCGGTATTATTTTCTCAATTAAATACAAAAAATACCGACCTCATGAGGTCGGTATTTTATATTATATATATATAGTAGTCGGTTTTTATGCAAAATAAAGGGAAAATCAAATTCCAACCTCAGGAGGTCGGAATTTTTCCCAGAAAAATGAACTACAATAAAAACCGACCTCTTGATGTCGGTATTATTTTCTCAATTAAATATAAAAAATACCGAACTCATGAGGTCGGTATTTTATATTATATTATATATATATATATATATATATAGTAGTCGGTTTTTATGCAAAATAAAGGAAAAATCAAATTCCGACCTCATGAGGTCAGAATTTTTCCCTGAAAAATGAACTACAATAAAAACCAACCTCTTGATGTCGGTATTATTTTCTCAATTAAATATAAAAAATACCAACCTCATGAGGTCGGTATTTTATATTATATATATATTTATATATTAACTACACATCAACAGAAGTTTAATTTAATAAATTTAATTTTATCGATCAAGTTAATTTTATATTTTAAAATTATATACCTCTTAATTTTATAATTTTAATTTAATCGATCAACAAATTAAAGTTTATCTATATCAAATTTAATATATAAATCTCCTTGAAATAATCATCGGTATTTTTTTAATTGATAATGTATTTCATATCTGAACCACTAATATATAGGACTTGATTTGATAAACTACTCAAGGAGTATATAATTAATCAACATATTTCATACTTCAATGAATTATCATTTACATGTCATCATAATTATATAAATATAAAATTTATAATTAATTGTTATCATGACATTTCTACGAGTATTAGCTCACATTTCATACTCGAATGAATTATATGTTAGCTCTTCACCTCTACATCATGACATGAGATATTAAGTTCATCATTAGACGACGGACTGATAAAATTTGTACATTACTCTAGAAATATAAGTATACTTATCTCCTAATTCATATCAACGTAGTTTCATACTCTAAATATGGATTATAGATATTTTTTTTATTTATTCCACGAATTCTAACTTTTTATTTATAAAAGTATACAAAATTGTTACACTTTTTGAACAATTAATTGTAGGTGTAAAATGAAATTTTAGTATTATCCACAATAGCAAAATTATGATTATTAATAGGAATATTTTAAACAAACCGACCTCCGGATGTCGCTTTTATTAAAAGTAATTATATTTAATAAAAAATACCAACCTCATGAGGTCGGTATCACATTAAATTTTATTAATTTATTACATACTATTTAATTTTACCGACTTCCGGAAGTCGGTATTATAATTTTTTTGTTTTTTTATTTCACACAAAATCGTCCTCCAGACGATTTAAATAAAATTAAATCAAAATAATTAAAGCGACATCCAGAGGTCGGTATTTTTATTTCATCTAATTACTTTTAATTAAAGCGACATCTGGAGGTCGGTTTGTTTAAATTTTCATTTTACACCTATAATTAATTGTTTAAAAAATTGTATACTTTTATAAATAGAAAGTTAGATCGAGAATACATATTTAGTATGAAATTACGTTGATATGAAAACCGGCAACAAGTAGTCGGTTTTATGCAAAATAAAGGAAAACCAAATTACGACCTCAAGAGGTCGGAATTTTTCCCAGAAAAAATGAACTACAGTAAAAACCGACTTGTTGATGTCGATATTATTTTCTCCATTAAATATAAAAAATACCGACCTCATGAGGTCGGTATTTGATATTAATTTAGTTTTACATACTATTTAATTTTTCCGACATACGAAAGTTGGTATTATAATTTTTTTTGTTTTTTATTTTACACAAAACCTAAAATATTTCTCAATTTTGTTTTTTATATTTAATTGAGAAAAACTAAAATATTTTTATTTATTTATTTGTTTAATACCGACATCAAGAGGTCAGCTTTTATTGTAATACATTTTTTTGGGGAAAAATTCTGACTTTCAGAGGTTGGAATTTGGTTTTCCAAAAACCGACTTCTTGTAAATACCGATCTCTGGAGGTCGGAAATTACCGACCTCCATTTGATGTCGGAAATTTTTAGGTCGGTGTTCACTGTTTTTTTAGTAGTGGTAATAATATCAGGAAACTTTGAAGCAAAATCAATAGATTGTTGAATGGGGTTACCTTCCCCTGACAAATAAAATGTCCTAGAAATCGGACGTTAGTTTGTAACAAACTCATTTTTGGTTTAGAAATTACCAAACCGTTTTGTATAACAATTTTCTTGAAAATGTCCAAATATTTAATATGCATTTCAAGAGTCTTTGAATAAACCAAAATATCATCCATACAGACTATGATAAAGTCTAACTATGACTTGGAAATATCATTCATAATTTTTTGAAATTCATAAGGAGAGTTTTTTAGACCAAATGGCATAACATTCCATTCGTATTGTCCAAACGGAACGTTGAAATCTTTTCTATAAGAATGCTCCTTGAATATTTGTATCTGCCAATATCCTGATTTAAAATCAAATTTTGAAAAGATATTAGCGTCATATAATCTTGACAATAAATCCTTTTTATATGGGTTATGATACCTAATTCATTTTAAATGTTTATTTAAAGGTTAGTAATTTAATACCAACCTAGGAACACCACATTCTTTTTCAGTTGCATTATTGACATAAAATGCAGTGCAAGACCAAGGAGATTTGGAAGGTTTTATCAAACCATTTTTGTAATAAACTATCAATTTATGTTTTGTAGAATTCAACCAATTCGGCATTCATCTGGCAAGGGCGAGATTTCGTATAACTTATATCTCGGTCTTTGTATGTAGCAGAAAATCCTTTTGCTGTTATGCTGGTAAAAGGATAAATAACATTTATAAAAGGGGATCCAAGTATAATTGGAGGGTATAACTGATGTTTTACTAAGAAAAAGAAATGCGGAATGTAAACTTTGTTTTGGCAAATACGAGTATTAGACAATTTATACTTTATATCTAAAGCATGTCCAGAAGCAGATTTGACCATATGAGTTGTTTTCTCAAATTATTTGGTAGGTACAAGACCTTCCTGAATGCAACTCACATCAGCTCCACTGTCAATCGTAGCGACCTCAGTTATAGAAAAAGTGTTATCAATTAATATAGTGCATTTAACATACCATTAGTGAGCGGTAACGATTTGCATCATTCCCAAAAACATATTTTTTCTAGAATCAAGGTTGATAGGTTTTGCAAGGGTATTTTTTTAGCAATATTTTTACCTTTGTTATTAACTGACTCAATCTGAGTAAGGCGATGATCACAAATTGTTTGATTTTGTTTAAGCATTTTAATTTCTTGTTTAAGATTTTCAATCTCTCCTTTCAAATCATCAAAAGAAGTATCACGTATAACAATGGGTTGTTTAGCAAGTCTATTATAAACTTCAGACAAAGAATACGGTGCAAAATATTCAGACTTAAAATCATTTTTTTGTTTTTCAAAAGAGTTCGAAGAACTAGCCTTGTTATTAATAGCGAACTAAATAATATTTTCTCGCAAATTATTATCAGTGACTTCTTTCAACAGTTCTATAACGTTATCAGAAGTAATAATATGATTGTTCATATCTTCAAATTGTGATTGTAATTTATAAAATTCATCATTTTCACAATAACAAATATCACCTTGGCATTTGCAAGCATCTATAGTGGCTGGCTGATTATTATCAGAGGACTCAGGTTGATCATCCGCATGCTCGGAACTAGATTCAGAATCGTAATCTAACTTAGAACCAGAGGTTTATAAAAAACTATAGATCTTATCGTGAATATCTTCATCTAGTCCTAATGTTTTAAGCTTTTCAAGCTTACAATTGGTTGCTATATGTCCAACTTTCCACACTTGTAGCACTTTATTTTAGCGAGTTCTCTTCTATATCTATTCTTTGTAAATCTATTAGATTTACGATGAGCTTTTTGCTCTTCCCGTTCCTCCCTAGACCTTTGTCTAGACCTTTGTTTTCTATGAGGTTTTTCTGGATTGGATCCACTAGAATCTCTAGGTCTGGTACCCTTAGTGGCGATATCAGGTAATCCAAACTGAGTACAGAAGTCTCCTAGCTGGGATCATTCCCTAAGCTAATCAATCTTAAGCTGTCGAAAAAGTTTCAAATCATTGCACAAATTTATACCTTCTTGAGTTCATGCTCCTATTAACTTTCCATAAGTGTAAGTGATATAACAAATAGCCCCTTTGCGGATTCCTCAGAGTGTTTTTTACTCGTTCAGCAAATAAAGGGGGCAATCCGCCTATAAACTTAGCTTTCCAATGCTCAAGACCATTTTTGGGTAGTTCCCTCACCCGACTCAAATAGGTATCTTTGTACCAACGAACTTCTCCTAAATGTCTACATCGTAGGCCATTTAACAGGGAACGGACGGTCTCATACTGATTGGTAAGTCTACCATTAAAATGTTCCAGAATGGTCAAGACTAAAGTATAAACATTTTCTTCTTTATTTCTTACTAGAGAAATTCCTAAGTTATCAACACCTTCATTATCAACAATACCATTTACAACAGCAACTTTAGCTTCAATGCTCATATAGTTATCCCACCAACCTCTAAATTGGCCAATAAAACCTGCAATAATCATTTTGCAAATATTTCTATCTGTGTTTTTAACACTTTTATAGATAGTCGCATACATAAGCATCCTATGAACAAGAATAGTTAGCTGTCTATCAGTCAAGCCAACAAGATTCCATTCATAAGTTCCAGTGCCACTATAAGAGGTATTAGTCTGGTTCCAGTCATGTTCCTCTATCAACATATCTTGAGGAGATGGTCTAGAATAATAATAAGTTTGCATACTGGGTTTATGAGCAAATTTAATATTACCACTATTCTTCTAGAGATAACCGCGAAGTTTCTTAATTTCCAAATCAACCTGGTTTTTAAAATCAAAAGTGTTTTCCATCTCATTAGCAAAATCTTCGGATAAATCAATAGGCTTAGCCCCAAGTTCAAAAATCTTTTTATCAAGAAGTTCTTCTAAATCGTAAAGAGGTTTAAAAACAAAATCCTGAATCTCAGGGGGTCTTTACACATGAGTAGAAAGTTCTGAAAGTTGTTTATGTTGGGATATACTATTAACCATGAAATTGTGTTATAGTATTTTTTATTTAATCCCTTGTAAAGATTTTTTATGTTATATATTTAATATAATAAATTTTTGTTTAAATAGATCATTATGTATATATGTGTGTCCATTGCTTATATAGTAGACAATTTTGTGTATGGAGTATTTTAACTCATACACGGAAGATTAAAATTGTTGGTGCATATAAGTTATAAATTTAGGTTCACGATCAAAGATGAAGTAGGACGAACATCTTGATGATCGTAGCACAAGATTAAATATAATTTGATCTTAATTATGAGAATGGTTAAATTCAACTTCTTGTGCTAGTACATTTTGTATGTATTGAACGGACCATTTAGAGACATTTGTTTATGTTCTGAATATTTATAAATAAATTCTCTAGTCCACTACATGTACTTATACTCTCAATCTTGATATAATTATTATGATCTATGTAATTTATTTTATTGTTTTAATCTATTAAAAGGTGAGACTTTTTGATGAGTCAATAAATTCCTAATAGATTAGATAATGACAAATTACATTAGTGAAATAATAATTAGTTGATAGAACCGTGTCTCGGACCCGAGTTGAAGACACCCCTTTATGGTTATTTATAAGTTTTCACGTGAAAACCCTGCAGGTGGATTTTAGATCCGTCACGTGAAATAAGTTAAGTAAATATAATAAAGGATTAATTTAGTCAATGAATTAAATTTTCAGATAATTTTGATTTAATTGATTGGTGTCGGTAATTCTAACACGGGGGGTTAAATAAGATGTAGTGCTAGATTTCGAAATTAAATCGAGGAGTGCAATTACAGAATTTTAGTGGAATACTTTGTAATTTATTGCGATATGGTTAATTCGTTCATTTGAGAATTATTATCGTAGTTGGAAGCCTCTATTAAATATATCTACGGTCCCTACTATGCCTGATTAATTGATCAAGTTTGAAAAGAAGGACAAATTAATTTTATTGTTGATCTTCTTTAAAAGGATGAATTATTTGAGAGTTAAAGATTGAGTTAGTGACAAAAACGTTTGGCCTTAAATGGATGAAAATGTTTTTGTTCTTATTACAAAAAACGTTTGGCGTTTAATGGATGAAAACGTTTTTATCTCAATTTATTCTCATGATCCTCTTGATTGCTCATTAAGCCTGAAATTTATTTAGACGTTTTTCCTATTCATTCTTGAGTGGGAAAACTAGATAAATAGGCTGGATATGACATGAAAGAGATCATCTTTTTGAAAAACAAGTAATACTTGCCCACACAAGTAACTTGGTAGTAACAGTCAATCAGGAAATAGGAGAAGATCGTAGCTCTGGATCCTTGGCATCTGGACGACTTTTGTAGAAGTTTCAACAGGTTAGTGCTCTTCTAAATTCGTTTATGTTATATTGTTTAGTCTATATGTAAGATTTGTGATCCTGAATATAGCTTCCGTTGTGCATATTCTAACAATTGGTATCACGAGTCTTCTTACATATACGAAATAATGTAATAAGATAATTCATGATTGATTGAATGTCTATATCATGCTGCGTTACTGTTTCATATATGAATTCGTTGTATCATAAATACGTTATTTTCTGATTATGAATTTATGATTTGATGTTCTGTTCAATGATGAGATTGAAATAAATCACTGTTTATAATTCAAGTTTAAAAACAGAATGTTTCATGTATTGTTGATAATTGTTCATTATTCAGATCTTGTAAAACGAATTCATGTTTCATGTTCATTGAATTAATAGTTTGAGTAACGTTTTTTAAATATTGCCTGGATTCTGAATATTTAAAGTTCTATGAAATTTTTAAAGAAAATGGACAGCATGCCATGCCTGAAAAAAAAAAGTTTTTTTTCTGATAAACTCCGATTGGCCTCAAATTTGGTTGGTTGATTGGAAACGACCCAGTGAGCAATACTCACTTCTTTGTTGTGACCAAGGGCCTTTTTTGGCCATTCGGAGTCGTTTTGATGGGTTTTTGGCCATTTTTCTGTTTACGAAACATTAAAAAATAAATTAAAAATTGTTTTTAGTAATCCAGTGGCGTAAGGGTTCATCCCTAACACTTATAAATGTATTTTAGAGTAAATATATGAGTTTATATGTTGACTTAGGTCCTCTTCCCCATCGGATAAACTCATATATTTTGCTACTGTTTTGGTACATCTTTTGCTTTGATGACTTGTTTAAAACTTTCCAACTAAGTTACATGTTGAATCAATGAACAAGAGACATAATCCATATCCATATATTCCTTATTATACTTACCAGAATACTCTCTAACTGAGTTGGACTTGTTTTGTTTAATTGGTACTATATTTACACATGCTCATATATTTGCTTGAATAGTTAAGTTTCCCAATCGAATCTAACTGTTTATAGGCATGATTATATGAGTCTTGTTGTGTTTTTTTTTAATAATATATCATGTATACTTAATGATCTATTTTATCTCTCTCAGATTAACTATGTCTCACTTCAATCCCCTGTCCTCAATCTTGAATCAAAATAAACTTGAGGGTCCAAACTATGTTGATTGGAAACGAAATTTAGACATTGTCCTAACTTCTGAGGGTTATAAATTTGTATTGGTTGAGGAATGTCCTATCAAATCAGCAGATCCTACTGATGAGGAAGTCCAAGCCTATGACAAATGGGTTAAGGCTGATGAGATGGCAAGATGCTACATTCTTGCCTCAATGGCGAATGTCTTGTAGCATCAGCATCAGTCTATGACATCTGCTTACGATATGCTTGCATCTCTTAAGGAGATGTTTGGTGAGCAGAATCGTGCTGCAAAGCAGACTGCCATGAAAGCCCTTTTGACCACAAAAATGGCTGAAGGATCTTCTGTCAGAGAACATGTGCTGAAGTTGATGAATTACTTGAATGAGCTGGAGATACTTGGTGCTGAGATTGATAAGGAATCTCAAGTTGAGATGATCCTTCAGACTTTGCCGGACAATTTTCAACAATTTCGCTTGAACTATAATATGAATAAGATGGACATGTCTTTAGCGAAATTGTTGAATGAGCTACAAGTGGCAGAGACTATAATTAAGCAGCAAGCTCCTGCGGCATTCCTAGTTGACCAGGCTGGGCCGTCCTCTTCAAAACCAGCAAAATTCCAGAAGAAAAAGAAAAAGCCCCGCAAGGCTGTGATACCCGGAGGTGCTAAGGATGGTGTGGCTAAGCCGAAAGGCAAGTGCTTTCATTGTAAGCAGCCTGGACACTATAAAAAGCAATGCCCTGACTTTCAGGCAAAGATGAAAAACAAAGGTAACTCTTTTTTAAATGTCGTTGAAACCTGTTTAGCGGCTGTTTCTACCCAATTATGGGCTGTAGATTCGGGAGCCACTGATCATATCTGCACTTCTTTGCAGGGGTTTCAGGAAACGCGGCGGCTAAATAAGGATGAAGTTAGTGTTTTTCAAGCGAATGGGGAGCCAGCACCAGCCTTAGCTGTTGGAATAATTTTGTTTTCATTTAGTAGTTCTAGACTTTTAGTTTTGAATAATGTTTTATATGTTCCTTCTATAAGAAGGAATTTATTGTCTGTTTCTAAACTAATGGATGATGGTTATGATGTTCACTTTGCGAATAACTCTGCTGTTATTAAGTGTAATAACTTTTTTATCCTTAGTGCTCCCAAAATACATGATTTATTTGTGTTTAAAATTTTCCATAACATGCTTCAACAAACTGCACTAAATAACATTGTTGTTTCGAATAAAAGAAAACATATTTCTCAATTGAGTCCAACTTATTTGTGGCACTTACGTTTATGTCATATTAATATAAATAGGATTTCACGGTTGGTTACAGATGGACCTTTGAGTTCATTGAATGTGGAGGCACTACCAACCTGTGAATCTTGTTTAGAAGGTAAAATGACAAAGAGACCTTTCCCTTCTAAAGGAAATAGAGCCAATAATAAGTTAGAATTAATTCATTCTGATTTGTGCGGCCCAATGAATATACAAGCAAGAGGTGGTTTTGAGTATTTTGTGACTTTCACAGATGATTACTCCAAATATCGATACATTTATTTGTTGCGGCGAAAATCTGAATGCTTTGAAAAATTCAAAGAATTTAAGATTGAAACGGAAAAGCGACATGATAAACATATCCAAACATTACGATCTGATCGTGGTGGTGAATACCTTTCTGCAGAATTCATTAAGTACTTATCAGAATCGGGAATTACTTCTCAATATTCTGCCCCAGGAACACCTCAACAAAACGGTGTGGCAGAGCATAGAAATATAACTCTTTTGGAAATGGTTAGATCAATGTTAAGTTATTCTGATTTACCTTTTAGCTTTTGGGGATATGCCTTAGAAACTGCGAATTATATTCTGAATTTGGTTCCTTCAAAATCTGTACCTTTAACCCCATCCGAATTGTGGAATGGGCGAAAGCCTAGCCTACGGCATATTCGAGTTTGGGGTTGCCCAACTCATGTGCTTAAAGGAAAAACAGATAAGTAAGAATCTAGAACAGAAGTATGCATTTTTATTGGATATCCAAAAGGCACTAAAGGAGGTTTATTTTACTGTCCTAAGGATCAAAAGGTAATTGTATCGACAAATGCCAAGTTTCTAGAACAGGACTATTTAATGAACCATGTTCCTAGAAGTAAACTTGTGTTATAGGAACTGTCCAAAAGAAT